TTTCGAGCAAGTGCCCACATAGGGCTGGGTTGGCCAGGTTGGAGGCATTTGGAGGCTCCGGGACAGTTTGGGTTTTGGTTTGCGGTTTCGCGGAGTTTTGGGGACCGCGGAACCTGTGGTTTCGGAAAACTACGAAGGACTTATCCCGCACGAGGCCACGAAGTGCCAGGTGTGTTTCGCATGACGCGGCAGGTCTGCTTCTTGGTATTTGCCAGATTGCAAAAACACTTCCTAGGACTTCCACAAGAATGAGCTGGAATCCCGGCTGGAATCAAGCAGAAAGTGTTTCTGCGCATTCCGCATCATCTCGCATGTTGCACGCTGCAGGTGAAACACTGAACTTCTGGACCTCCACAGTCGAAACATGTACCTGAAGGCGACAAGACGGTCATCTGAATCCTTGATCATTCATCTGCTGGGATATGTCCTCGTCTTGGTCGGCATGCATCTCATCTCCGTGGATTGAAGGGGCGCTGCCCTCACGGCCAGTTGGCTTCTGCATAACCAGTCTTTCTCTCTGAGCTTCCTTCCATGGCCCACTTTGTGTGGAGCTGAGCTTGAGGACGCAGCTTGCTTGTGCACCTGCCGTCTTGAGCTTATATGTCGGTTACTCGACTTTGCACGGCCATCCAGTCTGCCCTCATTGAGACGCAGCCCTGGGCTTTCGCATGCCTTGAGCTGTGGGGGTGCCGTACCTCCATGGAGCCGATGGGCGACCTCCCGCTTACGCGTTTGCGGCACAGCTTTCCCGATTTTCTTTTGGTGATAATCTTTCGTGGAGAAATTTCTTCTCCACAGCGCCCACGTTTTCAAGAGTCGCAGCGCCATATCGGATCCAGCGATGTTCGATGATCGCGTTTTCGTGCACGTCTGGTACCCTGTGTGGGTCGGGGTGATGCGGCAGATGCCCCAAGAAATGGAGTTGTCGGTACGACGCTTGTGCCCTCTGCTTCGATGCCCCGGTCTCGTTCTGGCACCGACATCAGCACCATCACCATCTGAGGATGAACTGGAGCTCGAGGAAGATGAAGAACCTGAGTCTGAGTCTGAGCCAGAGGATGAGGATGACGATGATGAGTCTGATGAGCTTGATGAAGGATCGGAGCCAACAGCAGCCGGAGCCGCAGCCGCCAACTGATGGATCGTCAAGAGGCAGAGCATTGTCATCATGATCATCATCGCTGGCTTCAGCTGCATCAGGCATCGCCTCAGCCATGACCCCACCAGCATCATCTGCATCATCTTCCAGGGCAAGGGAAGGAGCGGCAGTCCGTGATCTGCGAGCGCTTTTTAGGCGCTGCAAGAGATAAAGCCACGCTGTCATCAACACCAAGCAAATGCTCATCGTCCAAGAACATGAACTGTTGCTTCCGACGCTGCACTGTCTTCACTGGCTTACCCAAAATGGCAGAGTACACAGAAGTCTTCTGCATGTGCGGTACGGCATGTTCCGGACAGTTGGCAGCGTATCTCGCATTCAATCAGTTCGTTCTTGATGTACTTGATGTCTTGTTCTTTTCTGGAGAAGAACCGAAGAACCTTGCATTGCTGACAGTCAGTGACATGATGTGAGTGCAGTGAGTGCAGTTTTTTTTTTGGCGTGGGCGGGCCTCAAAGACAGCAGTTGCTGCACTCGGTCCCAGTAAGAACTACAAGAAGATAATAAAGAGCTGTACAAGAATGATACGCAAAAAAGACTATTCAGACATGGTGAAACGGGCTGCGACTTGCAGACTACGCCGGCAGAGATCGTTCAGCCCTGGTTAAGCCTCAACTGCTAGAGCCGCTCAGATGCCCCGCTTTCCAGAAAGACTGGATAGCGCAATGGCGTGCGCAAGCATGTAAAGACCACTGGTCACGAGGCATGGCACACAGAGCCTCCTCATAGCTCAAGACGGCAGGTGCACAAGCAACTTGCGTCCTCAAGCTCAGCTCCACACAAAGTGGGCCATGGAAGGAAGCTCAGCTCTCCGCGAGAAAGACTGGTTATGCGCAGAGGCCAACTGGCCGTGAGGGCAGCGCCCCTTCAATCCACGGAGACGAGGTGCATGCCGACCAAGACGGCATGAGTGCAGTGAGTGCAGTGACATGTTCACCATGTTGCGGTTGCGGTCTTGTGCGAGTGGGCAGAGTGTGCAGTGTGCTGTGCAGAGAGGCAGACAGGGAGACACAGACAGACAGAGAGAGAGGGACAAAGAGAGAGAGAGAAGAGACAGAGAGAGAAAAAGAGCGAGAGAGAGAGAGAGAGAGAGAGAGAGAGAGAGAGAGAGAGAGAGAGAGAGAGAGAGAGAGAGAAAGGAGCAAACTCAATCAGCTGTTTGTTGCAAATACAACACAACACAAGACGAAGAGACATAGGAATTCGGATGGGTGTGGACAGGCTAGCACAAGACGAAGACACATAGATTCGGATGGACCTACATAGTTTTTTTTTTGGGGGGTGTTTGAACCCTGAGTTCGGAACTCTATGTTCTGAACTTGAAGTTCTCGGAGTTCGAACTCAAAGTTCAGGGCCGAGAACTCGGAGTTCGAACATATATGTTCCCCCGAACTCGGAGTTCGAACTCTAAGTTCAACTCAGAGTTCAATTCAACTCCGGACCTCTCGAACTCAGAGTTGAACTCGAGTTGGAACTCCAGATCGCACAATGTTCGAACCCTGAGTTGAACACCGGTGTTCGAACCCAGGGTTCAAACACCAGTGTTCAAACCCTGGGTTCGAACACTGGTGTTCAACTCAGGGTTTGAACACCAGTGTTCGAACCCAGATTCAAACACCGGCATTCAAACCCAGGTTCGAACACCAGTGTTCGAATTCCGGGTTTGACATGGTTTTGAGAGTTTCTTTGATTTTCTTTCGCTTTTAACCCCCAGAAGCGTTTTCGTAAGGCTTTCTCCTTCTATTAGAAGCGACGTGTGGGAGAGTGGGTGGAAGGGGTTCGAATACTGGTGCTTGAACTCAGGGTTCGAACACTGGTGTTTGAATCCTGAGTTCGAACACTGGTGTTCGAACCTGGGTTTGAACACCGGTGTTTGAACCCTGGGTTCGAACACTGGTTTGAACCTGGGTTCGAACACCGGTGTTTGAACCCTGGGTTTGAACATGGGTGTTCGAACCCAGGGTTCGAACACTGGCTCGGAGTTCAAGCACCGTGTTTTGATATGGTTTTGAGAGTTTCTTAGATTCCTTTGCTTTTAACCCCTCAAAAGCGTTTTCGTGTGGCTTTCTCCTTCAAGGGGTCTGGCTCGGAGTTCAAGCACCGTGGTTTGATATGGTTTTTTGAGAGTTTCTTAGATTCCTTTGCTTTTAACCCCTCAAAAGCGTTTTCGTGTGGCTTTCTCCTTGAAGGGGTCTGGCTCGGAGTTCAAGCACCGTGGTTTGATGTGGTTTTGAGAGTTTCTTAGATTTTCCTTCGCTTTTAACCCCTCAAAAGCGTCTTCGTGTGGCTTTCTCTTTGAAGGGGTGGGTTCGAGTACTGGTGTTTGAACCCTAGTTCGAACACTGGTGTTCGAACCCTGAGTTCGAACACTGGTGTTTGAACCTGGGTTCGAACACCGGTGTTTGAACCCTGGGTTTGAACACTGGTGTTCGAACCCAGAGTTCGAACACTGGTGTTTGAACCTGGGTTCGAACACCGGTGTTTGAACCCTGGGTTTGAAAACACCGGTGTTTGAAATCCGAGTTCAACCTCGGTTCCAAATGTTTGAACCCAGGGTTCAACTCGAGTTCGAATGTTATGTTCCCACCCCCCCGGACCCCCCCCAAGGTGTTCGAACCCAGGGTTCGAACACCCTGCAAAAACCTATGCTCGGATGGACCGGCTAGAGAGACATTTCGAGCAAGACTAATCATAGTTTAATAAGGGACACAGGAATGAATTTCGAGCAAGCCCCTGGGGTTTCGAGCAAACCCCTGGAATTTTCGAGCTACCCGCTGGAATTTCGAGCAACCAGCGCTCCAATTTCGAGCTTTTCGAGCGCGTGCCCACATAGGGCCGGGTTGGCCAGGTTGGAGGCAATTTGGAGGCTCCGGGACAGTTTGGGTTTTGGTTTGCGGTTTCGTGGAGTTTTGGGGATCCGCGGAACCTGTGGGGTTTCGGAAAACTACGAAGGACTTATCCCGCACGAGGCCACGAAGTGCCAGGTGTGTTTCGCATGACGCGGCAGGTCTGCTTCTTGGTATTTGCTAGATTGCAAAAACACTTCCTAGGACTTCCACAACAATGAGCTGGAATCCCGGCTGGAATCAAGCAGAGAAAGTGTTTCTACGCATTCCGCATCATCTCGCATGTTGCACGCTGCAGGTGAAACACTGAACTTCTGGACCTCCACAGTCGAAACATGTAACCTGAAGGCGACAAGACGGTCATCTGAATCCTTGATCATTCATCTGCTGGGATATGTCCTCGTCTTGGTCGGCATGCATCTCATCTCCGTGGATTGACGGGGCGCTGCCCTCACGGCCAGTTGGCCTCTGCGCATAACCAGTCTTTCTCTCGGAGAGCTGAGCTTCCTTCCATGGCCCACTTTGTGTGGAGCTGAGCTTGAGGACGCAGCTTGCTTGTGCACCTGCCGTCTTGAGCTTATATGTCGGTTACTCGACTTTATGCGGGGGCTGACTTCTTTCGCACGGCCATCCAGTCTGCCCTCATTGAGACGCAGCCCTGGGCTTTCGCATGCCTTGAGCTGTGGGGGTGCCGTACTTCTCCATGGAGCCGATGGGCGACCTCCCGCTTACGCGTTTGCGGCGCAGCTTTCCCGATTTTCTTTTGGTGATAATCTTTCGTGCAGGAATTTCTTCCCCACAGCGCCTACGTTTTCAAGAGTCGCAGCGCCATATCGGATCCAGCGATGTTCGATGATCGCGTTTTCGTGCACGTCTGGTACCCTGTGTGGGTCGGGGTGATGCGGCAGATGCCCCAAGAAATGGAGTTGTCGGTGCGACGCTTGTGCCCTCTGCTTCGATGCCCCGGTCTCGTTCTGGCATCGACATCAGCACCATCACCATCTGAGGATGAACTGGAGCTCGAGGAAGATGACGAACGTGAGTCTGAGTCTGAGCCAGAGGATGAGGATGACGATGATGAGTCTGATGAGCTTGATGAAGGATCGGAGCCAACAGCAGCCGGAGCCGCAGCCGCCAACTGATGGATCGTCAAGAGGCAGAGCATTGTCATCATGATCATCATCGCTGGCTTCAGCTGCATCAGGCATCGCCTCAGCCATGACCCCACCAGCATTATCTGCATCATCTTCCAGGGCAAGGGAAGGAGCGGCAGTCCGTGATCTGCGAGCTCGCTTTCTAGGCGCTGCAAGAGATAAAGCCACGCTGTCATCAACACCAAGCAAATGCTCATCGTCCAAGAACATGAACTGTTGCTTCCGACGCTGCACTGTCTTCACTGGCTTACCCAAAATGGCAGAGTACACAGAAGTCTTCTGCATGTGCGGTACGGCATGTTCCGGACAGTTGGCAGCGTGTCTCGCATTCAATCAGTTCGTTCTTGATGTACTTGATGTCTTGTTCTTTTCTGGAGAAGAACCGAAGAACCTTGCATTGCTGACAGTCAGTGGCATGATGTGAGTGCAGTGAGTGCAGTTTTTTTTTTGGCGTGGGCGGGCCTCAAAGACAGCAGTTGCTGCACTCGGTCCCAGTAAGAACTACAAGAAGATAATAAAGAGCTGTACAAGAATGATACGCAAAAAAGACTATTCAGACATGGTGAAACGGGCTGCGACTTGCAGACTACGCCGGCAGAGATCGTTCAGCCCTGGTTAAGCCTCAAATGCTAGAGCCGCTCAGATGCCCCGCTTTCCAGAAAGACTGGATAGCGCAATGGCGTGCACAAGCATGTAAAGACCACTGGTCACGAGGCATGGCACACAGAGCCTCCTCATAGCTCAAGACGGCAGGTGCACAAGCAAGTTGCGTCCTCAAGCTCAGCTCCACACAAAGTGGGCCATGGAAGGAAGCTCAGCTCTCCGAGAGAAAGACTGGTTATGCGCAGAGGCCAACTGGCCGTGAGGGCAGCGCCCCTTCAATCCACGGAGACGAGGTGCATGCCGACCAAGACGGCATGAGTGCAGTGACATGTTCACCATGTTGCGGTTGCGGTCTTGTGCGAGTGGGCAGAGTGTGCAGTGTGCTGTGCAGAGAGGGAGACAGAGACAGACAGAGAGAGAGAGAGAGAGAGAGAGAGAGAGAGAAAAGAGAGAGAGAGAGAGAGAAGAGAGAGAGAGAGAGAGAGAGAGAGAGAGAGAGAGAGAGAGAGAGAGAGAGAGAGAGAGAGACAGAGAGAGAGAGAGAGAGAGAGAGAGAGAGAGAGAGAGAGAGAGAGAGAGAGAGAGAGAGAGAGAGAGAGAGAGAGAGAGAGAGAGAGAGAGAGAGAGAGAGAGAGAGAGAGAGAGAGAGCGAGAGAGAGAGAGAGAGAGAGAGAGAGAGAGCGAGAGGGAGAGGGAGAGGGAGAGGGAGAGGGAGAGGGAGAGGGAGAGGGAGAGGGAGGGAGAGAGAGAGGGAGAGAGAGAGGGAGAGAGAGAGGGAGAGAGAGAGAGAGAGAGAGAGAGAGAGAGAGAGAGAGAGAGAGAGAGAGAGAGAGAGAGGAGCAAACTCAATCAGCTGTTTGTTGCAAATACAACACAACACAAGACGAAGAGACATAGGAATTCGGATGGGTGTGGACAAGACACATAGATTCGGATGGACCGGCTAGCGCAAGACCAAGACACACCACAGAGAGACATTTCGAGTAAGACTAATCATAGTTTAATAAGGGACACAGGAATGAATTTCGAGCAAGCCCCTGGAGTTTCGAGCAAACCCCTGGAATTTTCGAGCTACCCGCTGGAATTTCGAGCAACCAGCGCTCCAATTTCGAGCTTTTCGAGCGCGTGCCCACATAGGGCCGGGTTGGCCAGGTTGGAGGCAATTTGGAGGTTCCGGGGCAGTTTGGAGGGTTTTGGTTTGCGGTTTCGTGGAGTTTTGGGGATCCGCGGAACCTGTGGGGTTTCGGAAAACTACGAAGGACTTATCCCGCACGAGGCCACGAAGTGCCAGGCGTGTTTCGCATGACGCGGCAGGTCTGCTTCTTGGTATTTGCTAGATTGCAAAAACACTTCCTAGGACTTCCACAACAATGAACTGGAATCCCGGCACATGTTGCACGCTGCAGGTGAAACACTGAACTTCTGGACCTCCACAGTCGAAACATGTAACCTGAAGGCGACAAAACGGTCATCTGAATCCTTGATCATTCATCTGCTGGGATATGATTTTCTTTTGGTGATAATCTTTCGTGGAGGAATTTCTTCCCCACAGCGCCCACGTTTTCAAGAGTCGCAGCGCCATATCGGATCCAGCGATGTTCGATGATCGCGTTTTCGTGCACGTCTGGTACCCTGTGTGGGTCGGGGTGATGCGGCAGATGCCCCAAGAAATGGAGTTGTCGGTACGACGCTTGTGCCCTCTGCTTCGATGCCCCGGTCTCGTTCTGGCACCGGCACCGACATCAGCACCATCACCATTTGAGGATGAACTGGAGCTCGAGGAAGATGAAGAACCTGAGTCTGAGTCTGAGCCAGAGGATGAGGATGACGATGATGAGTCTGATGAGCTTGATGAAGGATCGGAGCCAACAGCAGCCGGAGCCGCAGCCGCAACTGATGGATCGTCAAGAGGCAGAGCATTGTCATCATGATCATCATCGCTGGCTTCAGCTGCATCAGGCATCGCCTCAGCCATGACCCCACCAGCATCATCTGCATCATCTTCCAGGGCAAGGGAAGGAGCGGCAGTCCGTGATCTGCGAGCTCGCTTTTTAGGCGCTGCAAGAGATAAAGCCACGCTGTCATCAACACCAAGCAAATGCTCATCGTCCAAGAACATGAACTGTTGCTTCCGACGCTGCACTGTCTTCACTGGCTTACCCAAAATGGCAGAGTACACAGAAGTCTTCTGCATGTGCGGTACGGCCTGCTTGTGTTCTCCCGCAGTCAGCAAGCACAACAGATACTCCCTGCAGACCGTAAGCTCACCACTCCTGGAGTTCCATGTCTTCTCAGAAGTGCCCTCAACATATCTGGAACCAGAAGGTAGGCTCTTCCGAGACGCAAGCAATCGATGTGATCAATTCTGTTTCCTCAAAGTCAGAAGAAGCTCCATGACTTCCATATCTGAAAAAGGAACGTCGCGAACTCGCACCAATCTCTCTTGACTGAGCAAGACCGTGCTCACAGACGCACAAGCATGTCCTGCTGAAGTCAGGGACCAACCTCCATGTTCGTTTTAAGAACGAAGCCTTGACTGAGCAGCAGGCCCAGCAACTTGGACTTGTCCCGGTACATGGAATCTTGCCCCTGCAAAGAAAAAGGTCCACCTGCCAGGAGATCCGGCAACAAGGACTCGCAAGCCGTGGATGCATACAGCTTTGCATCATCTGCGTTCATGTCCGGTGCGACAAACTTGTAGTGCAACCTGGGCCTTTGCTTCCATAACCGCAAACCCAGAAGTGACTCCAGAGGCAAAGCTTCTAGAGACAAGACCACAGGGGTTAGATTCTGCTCCAGGCTTGTAAGGCAAATCGGCGAAGAACCCACATTCACCTCGTACGATGCATCTGTTATCTCGTGCACGCCCTGAACCTCCAGGAAATTCACTGCCCAATCATGTTGATTCAGACCGGTTGCTTCCGGAAGCACCACTCTTCCTAAAGCCTTTCTAACCAGCTGCAAGAACACGTGCCCCCGCATTGCCATCCGATTCAAGTCCAGTGACCGCTCACGACTCTCGTCCTTTTCAGAATTCACCAAAGACACAAAGCCAAGACTGCGCAGTGCTTCCTCAGCAAAAGGGACAGAGTAAGCACTGTCAACGGCACCAGTGTTCTCCTCAAGCATGACCGACATTGCCTGCAGAATGTAATGCCTGAGCACACTGTCGGGCTCGCAAGCTGTTGGCCTTTCGAGTTGCAAAGTCTCAGCTGCAGCCGCAACCTGATCTGTAGAATCTGCAGCTGGTGGCATCAGAGCGGGCCCAGCCTTCTTTCCGATTATCCTACGCAGCGGCAACATTTCCGGTCGCTGACTGGCCTGCGGATCCTGCGATTGCCCTTCATCTGGGGGCGGGAGCAGAGCTTTTGCATGCGGAGGTTGCGTTGGAGGATCAGGAGACACTATCTTCAATGCTGGCTGAAACATAGTCGCAGGGTCACAATGGTAAATGATTTTAAGTTGCATCGGGTCCCTGTAGTGCTTTATGTACGCAGCTGAAGGGTGATGGGCTAATCCCAACGCTTGCAAAGCCCTGGGCCCAGAGTGAACTTGGTCATGATACCCGGCCAAAGTGTCAAGCATGTTCGGATCGGCTGCAATCGCATCTCGAATGGATCTCATCCTGCGGGCCAGGCTCACGTACGCAGCGGTGTGGTTGCGAGCCAAGGCGATCTTCTTGTGGACCTGTGGCCGAGGCGGGTATGTGTGCACTCAGGTACCTTAAGGTGGGTACCAGAGGATACTTGCGGAGTCAGAACTAGTGAGCTACTCGGGGCAACCAAGCTTGCAAACAAAAACTTTGGAGCTACATGCATACTTTAATTAAATGGGGAGGCTTGCAACTTGCAATGATCGAAGATCGCAGCTGTGGTCTTGACATCTGAATTTGAGCTTGAATCCCGAGACGGCCCGAGACCTCACCCTCAAAGTCTCAAAGCTATTTACCCCAACAGTCCAGCATGCAGCTGTGCGCCTGGGCGTGATCGCCCTCCACGGCTCTCTCGGCCACTGGGCAAAAATACAGACGGCCTAGGAACTTGGCTAGCAGCGGCAAGGCATCCAGGTCTGCTTCGTCATCCAAGAATTGCAATACTTGTTCACGCATGCTTCGCTCTTGTAGCTCTGCAACAAGTGGTGTGTCTGCAGGAATCTGCAGACAGGTCCGGAGAAACCTTTTCCGGACATTTGCAGAAGGATGGGCACAGCCGAAAACACACCAGGGAGGCTTCCTCAAGTGGTCCAGCCGCAGATTCACAATGAAAACCAAGTGCGACCTGGCACGTTCAAACTCTTGCAGCAACAGTGCCCGTGACTCTGGACTCAGTTCTCGTGGTAGGGTCGTCAGCAGCTCAGAGGCCCTCTTATTGCTAAGATCTAGCAAGAGTCGCTTTAAAGCACCTTCAGCGATTTCTGGTGCCCGGCATCCACGAACAGGGCAAGCCCTCCACACAGCTTGAACATCTTTTGGAAATTCGAGGTCTTTGATATCCCACAATTCCCAATGGCACGGGCAGCCTTCGATCCATGTCAGGCAACCCTGAATCACTCTGGCCAAGCTTTCAAGCATGTGCAAGTTTCCCCAGAAATCGGGGTCCGAGATTGCATCATTGACGATCGAAAGGTCCACGCTGCTGCCATGTTGAGCTGCAGCATCGCCAGGCCGCGAGCTGCCGTATTTCTCTGAATCCCACGCATACCGGAGAGCGGCTTCTACTTTTAGCAACTCTGAAACACAAACTGCTATGGAACCCCGTCGGGAGGTGTTCAACTTCACTTGGAAGGCTTTGATCTCCTTCTGCTGCAAATGCTGTGTTATAGGGCCACTGAAGCAAGACTTCAGCAAACGATCTTTGGGATCCTTTCGGGCCAAGAATTTGGAAAGATGAGCCATTTTCTTCACTACCGAATCGAAGGTCGTCATGGATCGACCTAAGTCCATGGTGCTGTTGTGCATAATGTGAAGTAAACCGGCGATCCCGCATGATCGTGTGACGTCTACCTCGGCATCCAGCTCCAACTGATGTTCACGCAGAGGCGCGAGTGAAAGCTCTTCGGTTTCTTCAGGTGCTGCTTGGAACCCACGGAAAAAGCGTCTTCATAGGAATTGGTCGTACTTTCCGAATGTTGTACTCTACGCCTTGATCTGTTGTAAACGAAAATATGCTTTTGCAGTACTCTTGCAACGCAAGCGGGTTGCCGGTCTCAAGCCAAAAAGCATGAACTGTCGTATGAAATTTGTGGAACAAACTGCTGTGTCCGCTGCCAAGAACCACTGCTGGGAGTAGGTGCACCTCCAAGCCTGCACAGATTTGTGCATGCAGCAGCTGCTCTTTCTCTTTGGTCTCGGCAATGTGCTTGGCCAAGTCTTCTTCATCCGGAAAAACACACGCGGCCACTTCCGAAACAACACTTTCCCACATGTTGTAAGCTTCTTGGGCTAAGAGATACATGTTGCCACTATCAGAAGTTCTCATGCTTGTGACCCGAATCAACTCGAAATCGTAATGCCCTTGCACCGAGGAATCCACCATCACGTATCGCAGCACCCCACCATTTGCACAGTCTTGCTGATTTTTTCGCCGGCAGTGAAGCATGTAGGCAGAGTCGACGGTCATGCGAGCCCTCGAAATCCTGGCCGCACTCGGCAAGCGGACCCTGTCACTGTCCTCTCCTTCAAGGGCTCCAAGCACAATCTCTGCCAAGGACTTTGGCAGCACAAGTTTCACTGCTTGCACGAGTACTTGCTTCAAGTCCCCAGCATCACGCAGGTGGCTACTCAACAAAAGGCATTGAATCAGGAATGTTGACCGATATGCCATTCTGGAGCTACAGACTCTCCCTCTGGACTGAAACACCCGGTGCATCATGCTCCCTGATCCCATATCATCCTGAAAATGCTGCAACTCTGCGACGGCACGCGAGCACTGCTGCAAAAGGTCTGAGTCGTCACCTGAAAGAAAACGCGCAGACATCACACGTATAAGTTCTGCAGCGTGCCCAGCGGAATCAGCTGAAAACGATGTTCCCGGCAGATTGCTCTCCTGGTCCAGATCCTCCAAGCTTGGAAGGACGAACTCCCGAACAAGTCCCTGAATGTAGTGCCAACCCATGATCTTTTTTTTCAAGCGCACACCCACAGAAGAAAGGGCGCCCTTGGGAGGGTCTGGCAAAGCGAATGACTGCCACAGGCCTGCTGCCACGTGGTAGGCCACTGCTGATGGCAAACGCACGAACAAATATGCATTGCAGTCGTCAACTAGCCACTCTTCTTCCTTGCCCTCCGAAGCTAATTTCCGGAACAGATCTCCAGGAGCATGAGGGTCCAGCTTGCGGAAAAAACTTTGCAAACGCCGTCGGTCTGTTACTGGCAAACAAATGGGCTGCTCGAAAGGAACCAAATCGCACACTCGGAAGAAATACAAATCATTCCGTAGAAAATCAATGCTGAATATGCTTTGCCACAGGTTGCGTTGCCACTTCTGATCTGGCTGAAGCAAAGACAACGGCTGATTGACGGAATCGGCTTCAATTCGTGCTGCAGCAAGAATCTGATCATGCGAAAGATTGCAGCCCAGCGGGTGCTCTTGCAAAGCCGCTCGCTCTGGTTCTGTCAAGCAGGCTACAGAGCATGAATTCCAGTTGGTTGTATATCTGCCAGTCAACGCATGACCCCACCGCTGTTCGACACCGTGCGTGCCGATCCAGCAAAAAACCTGGACCATGGCAAGGGGTACCATCACACTATGGGCTCTTGGCCGTGGAATGGTCCTGGACTATGGGCTCTGGACTCGTGTGGACTATGATGAAATCGACTCCACCAATGCCGAGGCGAAATAAAAGGGTGCAGCTGACTCTGACGTCTGTGATCCTGCGAATCTGCGAACAGATGATCTGGTCAAATGCTTGTTCCTGAAACATGTGAAAGACGTACCACATTAAAGTCTGCAAAATTATGGCACTAAAAGGAGCCTGTTCTGATTCTTTTCAAGCTTCACAGTGCGCACGCACAGAGAAAACATCGACGGAGTGACCAGATCAAACGGTCACAATCAAAAAACATCTTCGATTTATTAAACCCACTAAAAAACGAAATCTCCTTTCCAAACCGCTTGCATACACGGAACACTATAGTTTCAGCTTAGGGCTTTAGCTCGTGCAAAGTTCAAAAGACTGCATAGCCACGGTTCTGGTTAGCCGATTAGCTGATTGGGACTGGGACATAGGACCGCAACACCACAAGACACAACACCGACACACTTCTTCCATAAAGAACAAATCCTTGGATTTGATTAGGTTTTCCGGCTCCGGCATGACATGATACACAGGTATATGAGATTTGAAAGTTTGAATCTGGATTGGCCCAACAACGTCGCAAGTGAAAGCATTACGCTGCCGTTCCATCATCATGGACAGTGCCCCGAGCGCGAAGCGGCAAGACACGCGGTTAGCAGAAAGAGCCCTGGAGGGTTTTCGAGGGTCTTTGTGACGGTTTCGATATGGAGCTCAGGGATTCTGGCGTTTAGGCTTTGGGGTTTAGGACGTTTAGGAGTTGGGAGGTATAGGGTTGGGTTGATTTGTTCGAGCCAATTTGAGTTTGAGCCAAAGTTTGAGCCAGCGAAATTATCTGTACAATGTGAAATGTGCATCATGTGAAACTGTGAAACGTCAATAAAAACTGTACAGACTGTACAATGCGAAAAATGTGAAACTTCTCAAAACAAAGGTACTGGCACTGTGCACACCGTACTGACCGTACAATGAAGCTCATGAAACTGTGAAACATTTTCTGAGACATCGGTACTGTACAATAAAGACTGTACACTGAAACTGAAACTGTGAAACCTGTTCTGAAAGCATTGGTGCTCGCTGGTGTGCATCGAGACAAGGAAGTGCACTCCGGGCCGGGCGCTCTTCACACTGACACTTCGTTGGCTGGGGCTTGGCAAGGACTTGGGCTGGGATCATCATGAGTCATGGGTGTGGACAGTGTGGATTGTGGGGCGGGGGTGGTGCGGGTGGGGCCGGGCTGGGGGTGGCCTTCCAGCCGGATTCCAAGCAAATGAATTCGCAACACCCCCCGCCCCCCATATCCCCGCCTCCCCCCCCTGCCCCCCCCCGCCCTCCCGCCCCCCGTGGGCTTCAAGCATAGAATGGAAGCAAGTGAGGCACACCGGCGAATGAGCAAAAATGATGTGATTTGACTCGAACGTGAACTCGCCCCCACTCGCCCCCAATCACAGCAGCACATAGAACTTTAGAATGGAATCTTTCTTGAAGCAAGTGAGGCACACTGCCCCAACAGCCGAGGAGCTGGGAATTGACGCCGTTGCCTTTCAATAGAGTGAATGTGCAAAGATGCTTTGATTTGACTCGAACGTGAACGAGCCGCCACAGTGCCACAGTGATCTTCTCCCATGCAATATCATACTGCCAATTGTGAGCACCCCCCAATCACAACAGCACAAAGAACTTTAGAATGGAATCTTTCTTGAAGCAAGCGAGGCACACCACCCCAACGGCCAAGGCGCTGGGAATTCAGACCATTTCAAGTGTGAATGTGCAAAAATGATTCGATTTGACTCGAACGTGAACTAGCAGTCAGATTGATCTTCTTTCATGCAATACCAGACTGCCAATGTGAGCACCCCCAATCACAGCAGCGCAAGAACCAAACAGACAAGTTAGCACGTTTCACCGCTTTTGCTTCGAACTATTCTGCTTTGCATTGGAGTTCGTGTTTCGTGTGCTTAGTTTGCTTGTAGGGACCGAGCCCAGCAGCCGCTGTCACCGAGGCCCGCCCACGCCAAAAAAAAAACTTTTCGGGTGGCGACTTGACCGGTGCCACGTCCCGCATGCATCGCCTTTGCTTTAACGGCCATAGAGGCGCGTATGAATGTTACGAAACTTCTTGACACTTGCTTTTTCTTTGCTAGTGATTTTTATTTCCCACGACATTTTGCGGTGTGTCATCAACTTGCTCCTACGCTGCTGTTCTGGCTTTCAGCTCTCCGTGAACAATTCTGTTCAAGGGAATAAGCATTCTCGCCATGGTCACACCCCTACCGGATGAGAAGCCAGAGACTAAGCGTATGCGGCCTTCGGCTGTCGGCGTTCATGTGCTTGCGGAGGATGTGTATGGCTTCGGACAACTGGCGTCTGTAGGACATGCTGCACCGCCCACAGGCCTGCCCACTCCGGTCCTGGTGCCTGGCGTCAGAGCTGAGGATGATGCCATTCCGGTGCGAGAGATCAGAAAATGCGAGCCACGGTGCTACGATGGCCGATGCAGTGCGTGGCCCTGGCTAAGATGGAGCCAGATCAGCCCATACAGAACCTGGAGGAGGATGTGCTCGTCCCCACTGGACAGATCTTGCAAGTCAGCTGCATGGATTGGAGCTTACACCTCGACTACGTGGCTGTCGTTCAGCAAAGCCTCCGAGATCTCAATTTCGACATGCTCCTCCGGGCGCGCGAGCACTCGCGCTCTTGGCGAGCGGGGCATGCCGACTGGAAAGCATGCTACTCGGCACTTGGATGGGCCATCAGCACCCGCTCTCTACCGCATTGTGCGCTTCTGCTCCAGGCTAGAGCGGACCCGGACTCGCCGGTCGGTGAAGAAGGTGCCTGGCTGCCGCTTCAAAGGGCCGTTGCATTCGACTTCGAGCCCCTGGTGGCGTTGCTACTTCGCGCCAAGGCGTCCGTCGGCCTAGCCTGCCGCGGACAGCGAGGGGTGCTGAGGACGGCAGCACAGACGTGTACCGTGCACCTGGCCATGAACTTGCTGGCAGCCGAAGGCAGCGAGGAGGTCGTCGCGCGCGACAGGCCTACGGACTTGACGTGCCTTCTGGAATGCAGAGTCTCTCCGAGCGCTCTCCTGCCAGGCCAAATTTTCAATGGCCGAACGTGCATCGACTACTGCCG